CGTATCGACGTATAATCCTACTGATTATACATCAGTCCCCGATCAACTGTGAGATTATTTACACTACCCCGCTGACCAATGTCAAGGGTTAGTTCCGTGAAACGCCTAAGAAAATTCACCCTCTTTGGTTTGGCTAACCTAACAGTATTCAGCGCATGAGGAGTCCACTTCAGAGTGAAATAGTTGTCTAATGCTCTTTGCCAGTCATCACAAAGGTTTTCAGCGCATGTCAGTGCATTTAACTGGTAGAGAATTAACGATCTTCCAAGAAATGAAACCCTCACGCAACATCATTAACAGTGCCAGGTGCCTGAGAAAAACCGAATGGATTAAGCCACAGATACACACACAAAAACTGATTTGTTTGCTTCGCACATTCTTTGCATCATAGGTCATCACACACAGACTAGACACTGAGAAGTGTGAAAATAAATAAATTCATACATAAGCATACATTTCAACGAGGGAATTCGTCGAGTATAGAGCAAATGAGACACGAACTAGAAAACACTTGACAGTTGTTCCGTCCTGATTGCATAGCAAAGATGGGTTGTGCTATTTCGTGTAAATCGAGAATGAAACAGCCTTCTGATTAGGTACCCGATTACCGAGTGGGTAGTATGCTTGCGTTCTGCCTGTGAGGTTCCGGATTCGATACACAGTTGGGTTCATGAATTCACACTTCTGATGAGACCCAACCAAGTCGAAACAGCTGTCCGGTGCTTCCTAGCTTTTCAGTTCACGCTTCATTTGCTCTTTACGCGACGAATTCCCTCTTTGAAACTGAATCGAATCCTCTATTACTCTCATTATGTGTGTATAAATCTCCTTTAGGATAAAGAACAGTAACTGAACCATAATAATTCTAAGTGATCGATCAAACGCTTATTATTATTGATGTTACTATGCCACGGGACCGGAGGAAAGAGGTTCACGCTTACCGACTTGGATTGCAGGAACCGAGGAACACGTGCGATCGTTTGCTTTAGCGGGAGTCAATGCCCAACGATTACGTTCCTGATCACCTTGGCAGAAAAATTCCGCACAGATTCGCTGAGCCCATTGCCTGCACAGTTGCCAAGGTCGACATGGATTGCTAATATCTGCGCATTTCAAAGACATCTGAAGCGCAAACATGAAAGGCATTGAAAGTGTGAAAAAGGACAGTACGTGTGTGTGTAACATTTTGTTATGGAAAAATTATTTAGAATAATTGAAATATGGCTAAGATTACTGACCTGCAACAAGAGGATACGTTCCGCTGGTGTGTAGACAGAGGAAGGACAGTTCTTCTTGGCATCTACCAAATTCTGAGGTGGAAAAACGAAAAATGAACCGGGTGAACAGCAAAATCCAATAGCCGAATTCGAGTTATATCAAAAAGGAAAAAATCATGAACGCCATGACCTTCAAATGGGCCAGTAAAATACAAAACGATCGAAGCAGAAATTCTCGAAGAATCAGCCATTTTTCCACTGGGGGTAACAGGGCGTCACGAAAATGATTTTCCGCTTTCCCTATGCGTCAAATTAGAGTCAGTTTAAAATCTGACGTGTAAAGAAAAACATATTTTGTGCAAAAATGTTTA